TAATTTTCTCATAAGAGTTTACGTGTATTGGTTAGTCAGTTCGTGCCAAATTATTTTTCGCGAAAATTCATACGCATCTGCTCTCAAAACGCTACCGGTTTTTGTTCACTGACTTTGCATTTTTAAAATGAACAATAAATAAAAAAAAATGACATGGGTTGTCCATAAAACTGGGTATTTACTAGTAAGTCAACTCGTGTCAAAATGACAGGCCTCCCCTTAGTTTAAATGACGAAGTAGGGACGGCAGAGTTTTCGATGTAGGTATTTTAGATATTGTCCTAATATTAAAATATATTAATGTTAGAATCTTATCACTAAGAAACTGAAATAAAAGACACGCAAATTAACTACAAAAATAACTATATTAACCCTCGAACAAAATATATCACAATCTAATCTCCAATACTAGAAATTCGTCTTGTTATATCCTGGTATTATTCATAGGGCACTTATGTAAGTTCATGAGCTGTCGGCTAGAAATTCGTTTTATACGTTGTATAGGATGTCGCTGCATACAGGATGTCTCTATTATTAAACCTTTTGTAATAATTTGTAACTTGTAAGGTATCCAAGCGGTTCGATTATTGTTAAAAAAATACAGGTCCAGATTAGGAAAACATTGATAAAGTCTTCCAGGCTCAAAATAACACACAAGATGCATTTTTTTTAAAAATTGCTTTACATATTTGGATAGAGCGCAATAATAGTAGTTTTTCTACACCCACATGGATATTAGCTTATCTATGTACAGGTTATACACAATGAAAAATTATGTCAAACTAATTATCATTATATTTTTTAGTTATTGAGATTAAATATATATTAAAATGGGTTATTCTTGTGTAGAATTGATAAATAATAGCATTTCTGTTTTTATTTCGTCTATAATTATAAATAATTTGTTAATTTAAATAAAACTATATGAAGTGAATTTAATTACGAGTATTAAAACAACAAAATTAAAAGAATAGGTAGTATTGTAGTGAGCGTTTTTGCCTTCCACACTGAAGACTCGAGTTCATTTAATTTTTCTCGGATAATTTTTTTTTCGTTTATTTTATTTTAAAAATTATTTTAAAATAAGTTATTTTGTCTTAATAACCTAAAATATTTTTTTATTTGTAAATATACGGCGTTGTGCTCAAATCTCATCTTCGTGCGATATGGCCATCATATCCACTCTTGTTGCACAAACTACTATTAGATTATTAAGACAAAATAACTAATATTAAATAAAAAAAATTAAACTGCTTGTAATCGTCCGCATGTATTTTTTTAATGTTTTTAAATTTTGACTGCACCCGAAACATATGTACCACTACACTAACGATATAAAATAAAATTTATGACCGATTATACCAAGATATTTTCATTTATATAAAATATTATAAAATAGTTTATCACTTTTAATAATTTTTAAAATAAAATAAACGAAATGAAAAGAGTTTAATTTAATTTAAAAGTTCCCAGCCAAGACTCGACCAGCAAATTTGAGAATTTTTTTAATACTCATAATTAAATTGACTTCATAGAGTTTTATTAAAATTAACAAATTATTTATAATTATACACTCACCGACTTAAAATTCGATCCATTCAAAATAATGATTTATTTAAAAATGCTCTAACTTTCAAATGCGGAGGCTGATTTATTTGAAGTTTTTAGCAGCTTTTAAATAAAATACTATAGTTTTTAGATTATTATTCGAACATATAAAAGTAATTTAGAACTCGCCAGATATACAGGGGGGAAAATAAAACAATTTTTTTCTCTAGTTTTGACACACCCTGTAGGTTAATTCTGCTAGTAGATCTGCACATAATTAACTTTATAAAAAAGAGTGATTTGTTTCCAACATTTTGTTTTTTTATTTACCCCGATATCTTAATTTGTGTGTGAAATGTGACGGTTTAAAGAAAATGCAACATTCTTAATTTTTTTATTCAGTTTTAGCAGAGTAATACATAATTTTATAAACACATCAAACAACAAATAAACTAATAATTATTACAAATTAATAACGGGTATTTTCTCCACGAGCCTCAGTGCGCCAAGGCATACCCTCTATTAGATGTCGAATCTCCATCAGATCAATCTGATCCCATTCTTGGACCAAAGCATCTCTCAAAAAATTTAATTTATTTGGAGAAGGAACTCGGTCATGAAATCGTTTGCCCATCATGTCCCAGACGTGCTCAATTGGATTGAGGTCTGGGCTACGTGTTGGCCAGTTCATCCTTTGAATTTCTGTTTTGTCCAAATATTGAGATACAATCCGCGCAATATGTGGTCGAGCGTTGTCGTGCATAAACATGAATTCGTTTCCTATAAACGGTGCAAATGGAATTACATGTGGATCTAGCACATCACGAATATATCGGTTAGCTGTCATTACTCCGCCGCCTACAATGACTAAATCAGTACGAGCTTCCATGCTTATGTCGCCCCAAACCATTACCGATCCTCCTCTATAACTGAATCTTGTGGAAAAATTTGCTTGGTCAAACCTTTCGCGTCTTCTTCGGTATATTCTTTCACGGCCATCAGGAGAATGTAAACAAAACCTTGACTCATCAAAAAATAAAATCTTACTCCAGTCATCGACATTCCAATGTTGATGCTCCCTGGCAAATCGAAGATGTGTTGTTCTGTGATTCCTAAGTAACTCCGCACCAGTTGCAGGTCTTCTGGAGCGTAATCCATGTTCTCGTAATCGTTATTTCATTAACAGCTACTTGACGTTCTTCTGCTAAACTATTTCGAGACATGACAGCAGTAGTATTTCTTTCTCGCAAAACATTTAATGTTTCAAAATGATCATCTCGAACATTTGTAGAACGTCGTCTACCAGATCCTCTTCGTCTCGAAAAACTACCAGTTTCATTGAAACGTTGTACAGCTCTCTGGACGCTACACCTTGTAACACCCAATATTCTAGAAGCATCATACTGAGACCTACCGTCTTGTACCAGAGCAACTGCTCGTGCTGCAATAGTAGGCGTTAAAACCATGATGTTATGCTGATAATTAAACTGCAATTGCCAAGTAACGAATATTTGACAGTTGTCATATTGTGAGTTGGCCATAGCACTCTACTTATTTTGTATTTATTCTCTACCGTCATTTAAATTATGACCGTTCCTAAAATGTAGCATTTTCTTTAAACCGTCACATTTCACAAACAAATTAAGATATCGGGGTAAATAAAAAACGAAGTGTTGAAAATAGATCAGTCGTCTTAATAAAGTCAATTGTGTGCAGATCTACTAGCAGAATTAAGCTACAGGGTGTGTCATAAGTAGGGGAAAAAATTGTTTTCTCTTTTCCCCTGTATATGCGGTGAGTACTAAATTACTTTTAGATGTCCGAATAATAATCTTAAAACTACAGTATTTTACCTAAAAGTTGCTAAAAACTTCAAATAAATCAGCCTCCGCATTTGAAAGTTAGAACATTTTTAAATAAATCATTATTTTGAATGGATCGAATTTTAAGTCGGTGATTATAGTATAAATAAAAATAGAAATGCTATTATTTATCGATTCTACACAAAAATAAGTAATTTTAATGTATATTTAAGTTCAATAACTAAAAAATATACTGACAATTAGTTTGACAGAATTGTCACTTATTTAAAATTTTAAAAATAAGTCCGGCGAATAATTTTATTACTAAAATTTGAATTTTAATTAAATCTAATCAGAATGTTAATGACTTAAAATGTAATTGGAATATTTATTAATTTTATTATATTTTAATTAAGATTATCCTATGACGTTCTCTTTAGTAAGAAAAATTAAAGGTAGATTGAATTATTTTCTATCTCTTCTGTTTTCTTTTGATGTACTTCAATGAGCTATTGGCCAAAAGATAACTTGTTTTTAGAAGATAAATGACAACTCATATTTTCGTGACACATATGGCTTTGAGTTTTATTTAATTTTCTTTAATAAAAAAGTATTTACATTGTATATGATGTCACACCCTATGTAAAACGAGTTTATAAACATTATGACTTGCTAAACTTTTAAATTCATGCTGTGACAATTTTCTATGTTTTCATGAAGAGCTTAATTACCATTAAAATTTAAAATGCATGTGCACGAATTTTCTAAACGAGGAATTAAATAGGTACGTATGAAAATGTTGTTTTCCAAATTGCATGGCTTGCTTATAACGATGTGTTTCGTTATGTATTGTCACAATAAACAATCTGTGTATTGTTTTATATCTGTTATACTTTGTTTTTAAATTTTCTATTTAAAAGTGGCCCTGTGTGTTTCGTTAACTGTTTGTTCCTGCAGTAAGAGTTATAATTAAAACTGAATTTAACTTGAAAAGAGTTTTATATAACCAAAAAAAAATTAAATTATTTATCATTAACAATTATTTAGAAAATAAAAAGTACGTTTATTAAAAATTAACAATAAATATAAGAAACTTTTTTCATTTTTTTTTTTTAATTTTCTATCACCATCTTTACTTTTTTTTTACTATTGTTTAACATTTTTCAAAATGGTACTTTTAACAGATCTACAGATTCTTGAAAATCAAATTAGTAGTAATTTAATATCAAAATAAAAAATGTACATGACATAAAGATAATATGTGCAAAATAATATTAGCAATTTTGTCAGTCCAAATTACATCTTAGAGCTTTATCAAATTTAAACTAAAATAATCAATTGGTTTAAACTTATAAGTAGGGTTCTTATAAGTTGGACAAAATCCATTTATTATCAATCAATCTTCGAGGTAATTTTAAAAGTTTTATAAGTTTCACAATAAATTCCCAGATCTGGAGACTTCGGAACGCACATGACCGGAATACCGCACTTTAATTGGCCAAAATGGCCAATTAGTGACACACTTTCCCCAGATCTGGGTAACTTTTTAAAATTAACTGCTATATACAATCTAAAAGAATCTGCTGGTCGATAAAATTATCTATCATCGATACATTAATAAAATTAGTTACTAATAGGTTTATTTCTTTTTCCTACAGCTGCGTTCACGAATATATGGATGTCTACGCAGAGGTGCTACAGCCGAATCCAGCCGAATTGGTGAACACGCCGTTCGGTGGACGATACTGCGGGCCAATACCACCAAGGAAGAGAGTGTCGTTGTACCGCGCCATGGCACTGTCTTATCACACGGACAAGAACACTTCAACGAACGATATCTTCGTAGGAAAATATGAATTTATTAATGATAGTAAGTATTTTTAGTATTCATTTCTTTTATTACCCAAATAGTAAGGTAGTTTTATAATTTTTAACTTAGAAGGGAATCAAACCTCTCAAGGCGACTGGTTTCGGCTAAAGAGCCATTTTCAAACCTATAAAAAGTTTAAACATAGTTAACAAAGTTAGTAAAAAATTAAACCTAGACATACATACCCAAAATCTTAAGTGGTTTCTTAAAACGAATTACAAATAAAATTTAATAAAACAATCGTAGATGTACTTATATCTACTTTATATAATAACTTAACATACGAGGTGCATGAGTTATCATTGAAATTAAAGAGTAATGAATAAAGTGGGATTAAACATTAAAATAAATGATCAAATTAAAATTAATATAGACGTGGAGAGGACAAAGTGGAATCCCAAGAGTAAAATATTGCTAAATTTGAGTCAGAGGTCTACCCAAATTAAAGTGGACAAAGAAGGTGGCAGGTTTCGAATTAAACCACAGATGCTGCTGATTAGAGAAGGTGGAATTCTAGAAGTGGAGTAACCAGAGTGGCATTTCAAAACGTCAATGAAGACATTACCAGTGGCATCTTGAACAACATAACTGATTACCTTATTCAGGTAGCTGACAAGCGTTAAACTCCAAAGTGATCTCTCATCTTTAAGGGAAAATATAATTTAATTGAAGAGGTAGGATTTAAGAGTAAGGAGGCAAATCCAAACACTCTACGCGAAGGTTTAAAGGAGCCACATCTGTAGGAAGTCGATGCTAACACCTTTGTACAAAAATTGTGGTCGAGAAAGTAACCAAATAAAGTTGAGCAGTGTAATAGTTACACGTGGTAAAAACTAAATAAAGCAGTTAACTCTTGCGACACCAAATGAAGGTGGTTCCACTAACATGTACCAAGTGCGCATGTCAGTTTTACAAGATTCATATTTTAAATTAATAACAATACCACAGAAAAATATTTACAATTATTTACAATTAGATTATTCGATAGTATTATCGTTACGATATTGTTGAAAAACAGAAATAAATAAACAAGCAAAAATATAAGAGATGAGGCAGAGTTTGGAAAGATTAATTTCCATTTATCATCTGAAGGTATTTTGTAAGTTCTCTGCGAATCTATTAACTTTTTATATGCTATTTCGCCCAGCTGCTATCTGAATTCCTGATTAAAGCCTTCTGCACAATAGTCCTTTTCAATCGTTTTGTGGCTTTTTATAGAGAATAATCAGTGGCTTTATCGTTTGTGAACTTACTTAGGTATTCTTGAACCAATTCTTAAACCAATTCTTAAACCAATTCTTGAACCAATTATTGAACAAATTCTTAAACCAATTCTCGAACCAATTCTTGAACCAATTCTTGAACCAATTCTTGAACCAATTCTTGAACCAATTCTTGAACCAATTTTTGAACCAATTCTTGAACCAATTTTTGAACCAATTCTTGAACCAATTCTTGAACCAATTCTTGAACCAATTCTTGAACCAATTCTTGAACCAATTCTTGAACCAATTCTTGAACCAATTCTTAAACCAATTCCTGAACCAATTCTTGAACCAATTCTTGAACCAATTCTTGAACCAATTCTTGAACCAATTCTTGAACCAATTCTTGAACCAATTCTTGAACCAATTCTTGAACCAATTCTTGAACCAATTCTTGAACCAATTCTTGAACCAATTCTTGAACCAATTCTTAAACCAATTCTTGAACCAATTCTTGAACCAATGCTTGAACCAATTCTTAAACCAATTCTTGAACCAATTCTTGAACCAATTCTTGAACCAATTCTTGAACCAATTCTTGAACCAATTCTTGAACCAATTCTTGAACCAATTCTTGAACCAATTCTTGAACCAATTCTTGAACCAATTCTTGAACCAATTCTTGAACCAATTCTTGAACCAATTCTTGAACCAATTCTTGAACCAATTCTTGAACCAATTCTTGAACCAATTCTTGAACCAATTCTTGAACCAATTCTTGAACCAATTCTTGAACCAATTCTTGAACCAATTCTTGAACCAATTCTTGAACCAATTCTTGAACCAATTCTTGAACCAATTCTTGAACCAATTCTTGAACCAATTCTTGAACCAATTCTTGAACCAATTCTTGAACCAATTCTTGAACCAATTCTTGAACCAATTCTTGAACCAATTCTTGAACCAATTCTTGAACCAATTCTTGAACCAATTCTTGAACCAATTCTTGAACCAATTCTTGAACCAATTCTTGAACCAATTCTTGAACCAATTCTTGAACCAATTCTTGAACCAATTCTTGAACCAATTCTTGAACCAATTCTTGAACCAATTCTTGAACCAATTCTTGAACCAATTCTTGAACCAATTCTTGAACCAATTCTTGAACCAATTCTTGAACCAATTCTTGAACCAATTCTTGAACCAATTCTTGAACCAATTCTTGAACCAATTCTTGAACCAATTCTTGAACCAATTCTTGAACCAATTCTTGAACCAATTCTTGAACCAATTCTTGAACCAATTCTTGAACCAATTCTTGAACCAATTCTTGAACCAATTCTTGAACCAATTCTTGAACCAATTCTTGAACCAATTCTTGAACCAATTCTTGAACCAATTCTTGAACCAATTCTTGAACCAATTCTTGAACCAATTCTTGAACCAATTCTTGAACCAATTCTTGAACCAGTTCTTGAACCAATTCTTGAACCAATTCTTGAACCAATTCTTGAACCAATTCTTGAACCAATTCTCGAACCAATTCTTGAACCAATTCTTGAACCAATTCTTGAACCAATTCTCGAACCAATTCTTGAACCAATTCTTGAACCAATTCTTGAACCAATTCTTGAACCAATTCTTGAACCAATTCTTGAAATAATTCTTAAACCAATTCTTGAACCAATTCTTGAACCAATTCTTGAACCAATTTTTAAACCAATTCTTGAACCAATTCTTGAACCAATTCTTGAACCAATTCTTGAACCAATTCTTGAACCAATTCTTAAACCAATTCTTGAACCAATTCTTGAACCAATTCTTGAACCAATTCTTGAACCAATTCTTGAACCAATTCTTGAACCAATTCTTGAACCAATTCTTGAACCAATTCTTGAACCAATTCTTGAACCAATTCTTGAACCAATTCTTGAACCAATTCTTGAACCAGTTCTTGAACCAATTCTTGAACCAATTCTTGAACCAATTCTTGAACCAATTCTTGAACCAATTCTTGAACCAATTCTTGAACCAATTCTTGAACCAATTCTTGAACCAATTCTTGAACCAATTCTTGAACCAATTCTTGAACCAATTCTTGAACCAATTCTTGAACCAATTCTTGAACCAATGCTTGAACCAATTCTTGAACCAATTCTTAAACCAATTCTTGAACCAATTATTGAACCAATTATTGAACCAATTATTAAGCCAATTATTGAACCAATTATTGAACCAATTCTTGAACCAATTCTCGAACCAATTCTTGAACCAATTCTTGAACCAATTCTTGAACCAATTCTTGAACCAATTCTTGAACCAATTCTTGAACCAATTCTTGAACCAATTTTTAAACCAATTCTTGAAACAATTCTTGAACCAATTCTTGAACCAATTCTTGAACCAATTCTTGAACCAATTCTTGAACCAATTCTTGAACCAATTCTTGAACCAATTCTTGTATCAATTTTTTAACTAATTCTTGAATTAATTCTTGAACCAATTTTTGAACCTATTTAAATTCAATTTTTTTTTTAATTACCAAACAACTTTTGTTTTGTAAACGTTTGGATTTAAATAATAAATAATATAACTTTTTGAACCCATTTTATATTTTATTAATTTATTAACATCCTGTACATCTAATCCGTTATTTTTATGTGATAATCTTATTTTCTCGACGAAAAACAATGACTTTTGTCAATAAATTAATAACGATTTTTATCTTCTAATGAATTCCATTCGTGTACATAGTGTATATTTTCCCAGCTTTTATTAGACCTTTATAATAGGACTCACTGTATATTTCAACTGTTCTAAATTCTCAAATTTTACACATTTTCCAAAAAAAAAAAAAAAAAATTAAGGTCGTTTAAAAAATTTTACGGAAATTTTATAATAAAAAAATGTAACATTTGAAGTGCTTTCTTTCTGTCTCAAGAAAACCTGAAACTTCTCGAGTAGTTTCCTCGTTACACAATGCTTTTATATATGTTTTGTGCTACCCAGTGATATCTAGATAGCTTTGGTTTGTCAAACTTTTATTGTCATTTGCCATATGCACATACATTTGCATCTCTGTTGAAAACTAATTTTTATTTCGCTCAGTTAAAAACCATTTGCGTTTTCTAGGTATCATTTTAAATTATATGAGCGCTTAAAAATTACAAATATATGAAGATGGATGAACTATTCCCCAACGTAAGGCCAACATCAATTAGTGATTAATGGGCCACAAACCATAAAAATATAACGGCCTTTCAATATTAAGCCAACATGGGCCATCAGTTTACCGGCGGCTGATTATTTGTTGCACATGTTTTGGCAACAGGACGGTGCCCCACCACACAATAATAGAATTGTCACAGATAACTTAGATATTAAATTTTCTAATAAATGGATTGGAAACAAGGGCTCTATAAGGTGGCTAGTGATGATAAGAGCATTGCGTAAGGAAACTCCTAAAACGACTTTTAGTTTATTTTGAAGATGACGCAAGACAGTTCGAACATTTATTATAATAATTATGTATTCTCCTTTTATAAAAAAAACAATAAACTGAACTATTTTTACATTTTATTTTCAAACTTAAATCATAAGTTAGAGGATATATTTAATAAAGACTATGTAGAATATCATAGAATCCAGAAATGTTGAAATATGTAGGGCGTCCTATTTAAAATAACAAATTCATGGTCACTTCCTTAAGTAGCCCATATGACATTATAGCTCCTATCTGAATTTCATTTCACCCTGATAATTGTTAAATAAAAGTTGGGGCACCCAGTCTGTATC